CCCCAAAACCCCAAAACCCCAAAACCCCAAAACCCCTAATTTTACAATCAACACTGAATACCTTTATTAAATATTAATATTCTTATATGAGCTTGAAGTTGGTATTCTCATGTTCAGACTAGACAAAGTCGATTTTATCCCTGGGGTCATTGCGAAGGGGTGCTTCACGAGATTGCTACCAAGATTAGAGTGTAAACCAGGATAATTCCTCTTCTTCACTCCCTTTTTCTTAGTCTTAGACTTTGGACTAACAATCTGGTCAGAGATTCCTCTCGAAGATTTGTACTTTGGATTTATTGTCTGAGTAATTGGCTTTGATTTAGTTTCTATATTCAGAGTTAGAACTTCTCTTGTTGGAGCTCAATATGACTCTTGAAGTACTTACCAATTTTACTGTTGTATCTGACAGAACACTTGCTGTTATTTCTGCTCTTCGCTGAACTAGGGACAGAAGTTGTATTGTAAAGGAACCCATTTGTACTATTTGTTTTCAGAGTTCTCCTTGAAGACAGTTTTCCTCTAAAAATTATACAGGAGAACTTACTTGGTCTTATCATAATTTTTAGTCAGAACTCTTTTGTTCTTCTTTAGAGCCTTGGATTTGCTCAACTGTCTGGTCTTTGCCTTTGGAATATTTGGAGAGGTTTTAGTGAAGCTAGACTGTACCAATATCTTTGGAGACTTAATCTTCCTCTTAATACTGGAATTCTTGTCCAAATCTAGGGAAACATGTTTAACTTCACCGTTATTCTTCAGATAAGAGACATACGAGAGTCTAGTAGAATTTTTGTAAGTCTTCTTAGTGTTAAGGTACTTCTTCTTAGACTTCTCCTTGAGTAACCTGGCTGTAGTGAATGGGTCTTCATTCCTGTTAACAACCAGCGTCTGGGTATACTGCTTTTTATCTATCAGAGGAGGCTTGGTGGCACTGCTCCTATCCAGACTATCTCCGGTATACCCAGTGTCTATATCCACGCTTCTCTGGTGTAAGCTCTTCTTCAGTCTATAATCCTTGTGCTTCTTGAGGAACTTTGATAATGGAGAATTAAATTTAGTTGCTTCTTTCTTGTACTTCTGAAGGGATGGCCTGAGTTTGGGTTTCTTAGTGACTTTAGGCTTTTTCTTTGATGGAGAATTGTGCTTTGATAAATACAAGTTTGAAGAAAATCCAACCGAATCATCCTTCTTGTACAAAGAAGTGCAATGCTTGTGCTTACTCATGGTGCTTATCTCCGAACCAACAGACATGAACTGATTCGCGATACTTTTATCAATGTATGCAGAAGGATTAAGTCCCTTTATCAATGCAGACAGCTTATTCTGATATTTCTTCTTCTTTTTCTCTCTCCTAGTCTTAGACTCTGGGTTCTTCTCCTTATTCACTTCTGGGAAGGGGTCAACGACTAAGTTTATAGTTTCTATATCACCAGTTAATGTTTATATTAAGGTTTTAGAGAATTGCAAATTACTCAAAAGATTTTGCAAACAGGAAATCCTACCTCCTTTAATATTTTCCCTACTATCTAATGAGTAGGTCACGCAGTGATCTATCGTCCGAAATTGGGTCGGATTCTTATCATCAAACTCCTTATTCGCAAGAATCAGGGGAACTTTATACGGTTTATTTCGCAAACTTATTGTTAACCTGAGACCCTTGAAGCGCTTGGAGCTTGAAGCTACCCACATCAACCCTCTGTTCCTTTTCTGTAAGCTCGCCTGACTTAACACGAGGGTATTGGTACTGCTTATTGACGTTTGATTTCTTGAATTTGATTTCAATTTCCTATAAAAAGTTTAGACCAGCCCAAATGATATTTCACAACTGAAATGTTCATACTTTCTTAAAATTCTTAAGCTCTTGTTCGATCTGTAAATTTTGTGAATAATGGTATTTCTCTTCAGAGAAAAACTTCCGAGAGAATCTGTCCTTGGGGTCTTTATGCTTCTCTAGCTTAGGGCGGCCTCTCTCAGTATAGATCTCTTCAGAACTGTTACTGTCACTGAGACTAAGAAGTTTCTTTGCAGTCTCAGGTCGGAGTTTGTGCTTTAATTTCAGTGCTTTGCTGGTCGCCATAAACTCATTGTTCTTCTTGGGTCTCTCACAGGAATTGTAGTACGTATAATCCTGCTTCAGTTTGGTCACGTGGATTAGTGGCCCATTTGAATTCATTTAAAAAAATATTGTATTAAATATGGGGTTTTGGGGTTTTGGGGTTTTGGGGTTTTGGGG